CACTCAAAATAGGGAGCGGGTTGGGCTCAGGAGGAGGACAGTCTGTTTCTGCGAGTAGGAATTTAAACAGTGCCTCTTGTTGATCATTGCGAAGCTGGTACACGCGATAGGTCTGCTTATGGCGACAGGAATGAAAGTAGATGTTGGGCAATGGCGCATCTGATGAAGTTTCTGCCCGGCGGTCAAAGATTGCTACACCTCCGAGGATACGATCCTCAGCCCAATAGCCAACTATGTCAGCAACTCCATTCGGGTAGATGTCTGCGTCGAGGTAGGCGTGGTGACTGAAGAGGGTCGGCCGTGGCGGGACATCAACAAGGCCTTCGAGCTCAGAGGCCGGTATCCTCCAGTTGGTAACGTAGTCAATATCTGCCTTTCCTCCCCTGTGCAATTGGAAGTCAAGCTGAAATAACAGAACGGCGATCTCATGAAGAGCTACTGCCACCAGCTCCACTAGACGTGTCTCAAAAGCTCTAGACCCAATCTCGGCATGTTGATATTTCTCAATGGTCTACAACGGTGAGTAGCAATACGACAAAGAATGTTAAAGATAAGACGTACCATTTGATCAAAAGCGAGAATATCGGGGTTCCAATGTTGATAGAACTCTTGGGCCTTTTCAAAAGCGCCGGGACATAGTTCATCGTGGTATGAGTCGATAGGGTGTTCACCAAAGACATGAGGAAAACGGCGCTCAAAACACACATCTCCGGTGGGTAGCCCATCCATGATTTGAGCATATGTGAATTGCGCAAGTTCAGTAGCCAAAGCATTTTTGATTGCGCCATCTAGAACATGGCGATGGCGCTCTGACTGGATATCTCGAAATGGGACACGTAGGCTATATTGGGCCGCCGCTTTTTCTTTCAGCGTCTCGGTAAGAATTTTTAGTTCTTCTGGGTCCATGGTGAAGTAATGAGAGAGTATAAACTAAGAGAAAATTGGAGAAATATTGGGGAAGAGTGTAAAAGTGGACGAGTTGGTCGTGATGATATGATAGGCGGGGTCATGGCTGCCTAAATGGCCCATAACAAGTTCGTCCCGATCTCAATGGGAAGCGGCTCTGGACTGTCACATCGCCTGTTACTCCAGTAAGCTGTATATCCTTAGTTCTTGAGTCTCAGCCAAGGATGACTGAAATAAAAAAAATAGAAACCTATGGCCGATTGATGTCGACGCTTTAGTAAGGTGTCATGCTCATTGGATTGTGTGTACTGTGTAGATCCATTCATTGAAATTGAGATCATCGCATTTGTATATCATGATATTTGGCTGCGTCAGGATATTTATCACAAGTTATGTATCGGGGTGTGCCATGACAATGACACATGTACACGTTTGGTTCTTTATAGAGAGAACTGGTATAAGTCTATGGCTCTGTGTTACCTACAACGAACTAGGGCAGTGCTTGGAAACGAGGATAGTGGTGGCAAATAGGGGCATCGTATATCTCAGGTAAAGAAGGCGCAATATATACAGTTAACTAAACTTGCTGCCTGACTAGCTGAACAAGAGCTAGATAGCCTAAGAATAGAACATGTCATGTCTTAACAACAGCTTCTCCTGTATCCATCACAAGACTCTCCAGGCCCCGAATGCTGTAATCCCCCAACACGGCATGACTTTTGACCACTAAATCACTGTCAAAAATGCTCAAGTATGGTAGATACCCCATCGCATGTTAACGCCGCCAACCAGTCCAGTAAGACTCTCGCATCCCATAACACCAGCAGCGCCAACCTTTCCTTCCCACTGAAACTTATCAATAGAGCTGTTGATCAGATCAATAATGTCCTGGTTTCCGATATGAGCAGCGTTCATGTTGGATCCAGCGCCCTGTGCACCAAAAGCACAGGTTCCGTACTGGACCAGCTGGTGGTGCTCGCCTCCAGCACCGACGGTCCAGGTACCGCCCCCAGCGATGTTGCGGGCAATGCGCTGGCAGTCGGCGACGAGGGGAGAGCCGCCGGAGGAGTGGTTCTCAAAGGTTGAGTCGCCGCAGTCGTTGACTGACTTGCGCTTGGTGAGGGTGGATGGGGAGGACTCTGTGATGGGAGAGGCGGCGGCGAAGGCGGCCATGAGGAGGGTGAGGAGGCTGGTGTTGACGAGCATTTTGATCGTTGTGGTTGAAGAAGTTGTTTAAAAGGTTGGTGTGATGTTTGAGTGTTTGGGTGAGTGATTGTTAATAGATATCTGGGAGAGTTAGACTTATATACTCAAATATCTAGGCTTTTGGCTCCAGTACAATCAGCTCAGCGCTCCAATGTCCCAACCCCCTCAGACATCGGCTAGTGAACTTTTGCCTCTGAAGGATCACTGTTTACAAAAAGACCTGTCCATCGCATAGGTATACTGTGATGTCCTATTGGCCACATTCGCAATCTTTCCGCAATAGTATGGGTTTCCCTAGTCGGGGCCCATTTTCAGAGTCACCGAATGTTCCTCCTGCTAAATAAGCGAAAAGAGCAGCCTTCGTATAAATGTCCAGTTGCAGGAACAGCCCCATTTATTTGATAGTTGTCATTGCGGCAAGACGAAGTACAGTGACTAACAAAGGTCTAACAATTCTATGTAATATCTAAACTGCATGTTCTGGTCTCTTTTAAGTAGATGACAGCATTGCTCTGGGCGTTCAGCTCATTTTCAGCCTATCTAAGTCTCTCTCTATCAACACTCATTTCGCTCGTATCTTACCCTGTGTTTCTATAATAATGTTGAACTGCCTGCAAGTAGGAGTTTCTTCATTTCTGAATCATCCACGGTCTATTCTCGGAGCCGTGGGCAGGCAAGTCGTCTGACGTAAAAATATCCGGGCCAATAGCAAGGCTGAAAAGGTGAAAATATACGATTGCAAATGACCTATAATTTCTATTCGGCTCACTATTACATGCACAGTCGCTCTATAAGTGGACATGATTCAGCTGTAAGACCTTTTGCTTCCATTTGAGATCCTTCAGAGTCAGCGCTAGCCATTCCAAGGCCACTCAATAACAATGCGACGGTGACAATCCCTTATATTCCACTGTTTTCGGAACTCGCTTGCCGGATCTGTCTACAGTCCCACGGTTGACCCAAAACTTTCAGCGGGTAGGGAGGAGTCACTCGGCACTTACAGCCGCTTTATCCTTGACATTTGACCTCAGGATGACCAAGTCCCCACAGCACTGGATGTCTGACCCAGCTCTGTTGTAACATCAACCCATCAAGGCCGAGGCTACGATGGCTCGAAAGGATTTCCTCATCTGGCTTGGTACCTACTCGATAACTTGGCAGATACGAGGACGTAGAATGTTAAGTTGCAGAAAGATGATTAGAGCATCCTTCCATATTGAACTCGATATCCCAATGTATCGCTATGTTTGACCATTTGCAACATGCTCTGTTCCTGTTCAGAGCCAAGCAAGGCGGCTTAGCGGCCCGAGAAGTCGCCCATTCCGATTGGGAAAAGACAATGATCTACATACAGGGCCCGGATTATTCCCCGCTATGAGTGGGCTTAACGCAACGGACCGAGGCCAAGATTTTACTGTAGGTAGTCGGTAGTTACAGGGTAATGTTGTGAATGTGTGAGCAATGAGTCTTTGAGTTCTACACTTCAATCTGATGCTGTTTCTTGATGTTCAATGGAGTGGAATCAATGTATATAAATATTGTCACCTTGGAAACAAAGGGTAAGGAAACACACGTGGTTATCAAGCTTGGAGATGTATGGTCAACCGGTTCAAGAATTCAAAACACTAATACTGAATATTAGGAGTGGTTGTCTCTTGTTTGTACAAGTTGAATACGAGTCGGGGCGATACATCAAGCCATTTCTTTCACATCGCACCATGCCTATCTTTATGCCGAAAATCATTGACTTTACAGAAGTGTAGTCGCCTCAATCGTAATTTGTCCAGATGTGAAGTTAGTTAGAGGGCGATGCGGCTGGTCAGCAACTCTTAGAATGCTGCCACAAATAGGACTTATGTCAAAGGCAATATGTGCCAACGCGCAGTGTTTCAATTTTAATTTTAATAGATAAAAATGACCTAGAGACTAGAAGTAGAATATCTAAGGCATCTAACAACTGCTAATATCGATGGTTTCCCAGAATGGAGAGGATGGTACGTGTAGAGTAAAGGGGCTTATCGCTAGAGATAATGAAATGACGATAAGATAAGCACCAGCGGCCTATTTTTCAGCATCATGGCCACGCAGGAACCAGATCTTTGCATTGTTCTGCATGATCTCACTGACCAGGCCAGACGACGCGGTGAGCCAATTTCAGTGGACTTGCAGTTTGCGTTGGTGGCTGAGGAAAAACAATAGTGCCTGACTAGTTGCGTGTTCGAGAACATCCTAGTCTCTTGCATCACCGTGCTGATTGAGAATGTCAGGTTGTCAAGAGTTGCCATCAAAGAGATATTTCACTGTTCAATATAAATAAATTAAACAGCAGCTGTATGGAGATATATAAAAGACCATTCTTAATAGTTAATCGTTGTATTTTGCATTTGCTATTAGTGGCTAGCTGAAGCTTATCTTTAAGCCTAAACAGGCCTGGGATGTCTCTAATATTGGTTTTTAGACCCTCTCAAATAGGCACTATTGCTTTTGCTCGCGTGATAACGCAGTTTCACAACAGCCATTAAGGAGTAGCATGTAAAACTAGCGACAGAAGTAAATAAAGGTAGACTTAAAGAGGCAACTTGTTCAATATTATACCAATGACCTTGACAGCGCATCACACGAAGGCCCACATAGCTCATCGGCGGCCGCTCCAGCTGGCTGGCTCACCACTGCAAAATTAGCAGTCTTTCTCCTTTAATTTAGATCTTTTATAACATAAACAGTGCGGTGGCGTATAGAAAATTCTCTTAAGGAAGGGGGGAACGTTTTCAAAATAAGTTGCTGAGCCCGCTATCTTTCCAGTTTTTTGATGCGTCCATTGTGATTTTACTCTTCACGGTTTACACCAATCGTCGCTTGCCCTTCAGCATGAGGTCACAACAGTGGATATGACAACTGTTGCTTGCACTCATGGAGGGGATATTGTTACTTTGACAGTTCCAAAGGCTGCTTATGAGACTGGCAGTGCGAGCTATACACACCCGATCGTTCAGTATCCTTCGGGTTGGGTCGGGGGGCATCAAACAGATGCTGGTGGCAGTAGTCATCCTGCGGTAAAGCCTACAGGAGGTTCACAGCCTGGCTCGCAGAACGGCCTGCCTGAGGTCGCTAACGCAGCCACAGGGATGCAGGGATTGCATCCCAGCTACAAGGCGCACCAGGCCGTGAACCCTACTTCAACTACAGGATCATATGGGGGTGATCAACCGGAACACGGGAAGCCGCAGCCATCTGTTCCCGCTCAAGGCTCGTCACAGTCCAACAACAATTCGCCGGAGAATCCCTCTCAGCCATCATCCCGCACGAGCTTGACAACAGAAACAAGCATCGTCCCTACTTCTCAACTCGGCACTTCAGCACTTCCATCTCAATCATCACCTCTTGACCAGGGCCAAGTTCCTTCAGAATCCACGGGAGCACCCTATGCTACATCAGTAGTTGTTTCAGAGGCTCACAGATATGACCTCACATCGTGGATCATGATTACAGCAATCGTCGGTATGCTTTTGTTGTAAGATGTACTTTCGGGTTCAGACTTGCCCGTTTGTGATTGGGATTATGCCGTTTGCTAGTTTGTCCACTGAGGCTGGCCTGTCCTGGCGCGTGCCACCTGAGCTATGAGATTTTAACAGCTTTAGCATTCTCTTGGGCACAGCATGTCAGGCGCTTGTCAGCCACTCGATTGAGGCTTTTACTACATACTTGTATATAATTTAGACTAGTGATATCGATCTTGTAGTTACATCAGTTTACCAGTTATCCTTGAGAACTATGGGACGGCTCTTTGCAACTGACAGACCTGCTACCTCCTCGAACGCATTCAAGACACAGCCCGACGGTCTCATAAAACTCCCAAAGTGTATCAAAATACAGCATCTTATATTTCGGGAGGATATGGAAGTTACCCAAGTTACACTGAACGCTTAGGTTCGTTGGGAGCGGGTCGGCCATCCTCTTTGCTCTTTCCAGCGCCGTCCAGATGGAGATATTTTGGAGATTCTCCGGCCAAAGATTCTCTGCTTTCAGTTTGTTCATGTATGCATGGCTATATATGCTGTTCCCCGCGCAGCCGTTGTCACAGCCTCCATCCCCATCGTTCAATCGCCTTACAAGAATATCGGCTGCCTTTAGCCTGGCGGCCCCTCTCTGCTCTTCCAGCATACCTAATCATTTGCATATTAGCTATGCACTCAGACGCTTACTAGAACCACTTACTGAATAAACTCCACGGTATGATGGACTCGAGCTCACTATCAGAAAGCGCAAGATAAGAGTCATGACAGCCGAGAACTAATGCTGTAGTGGCACGATTGAACGCTTCTGCATCCCCAAAGATGTAGGCTGCGGCAGTGAGAAGCATCAAGTCCTTAGGAGGTTTCCCTTTCGGCTTTAGAATCCAGGCTTTGCTAGCAAACTGTAAGGCGTTTAAACAATCGTACTTGTCTCCGGCAATGGCAATGGCGAGGACGTCGCCAGCAGGGATGGTCCGAGGGATCCTGCCGTTCTGCAAGTGTATGACAGAACATATGATTTCCATTGCAGTAGCATTGTCCTCCGGTAGTGATAACTCAAACGGGCCATCATGACATCGCATGTCATGGCCTTCTTTCCAATATGGCCCCAGCATGACTGAGAAGGGCTTTGAGGCTACCATCAAAAACATGGACTTGACTCGGAGCTTGGCCTTATCGGGTCCAACTACCAGAATGACATCGCCATCTGGGACAATTTCCACAATCTGGGAATCTGCTGCGTTCGCCATGTTTGATTCGAATCGCTTGCTGTGATTTCGTGGAAGGTTCGTCGGCAGGCCCAAGGTACCTGCTTTGTGTGGTGCTGAGTTGGATCATCTCATTTTAGCAGAAGCATTTGAGCTTTTTATAACCCAGTCGATTAAATAAGCCACTTTATAAGTTTTCATGAACTTGAACTTTATGCTGGGACAATTGGTTACGCATTTTGGTATCGGGGAAAAGAATATCGTGCTGTCATTCATTATCTGTGTTTGCAGCCTAAAGCTTAACCTTATAGACCCCGGTCATCCATAGTAGGCATTTTGGAATACTGTCCAAAGTTTTGAGAGTCAAAGATTTTAACATCTCAGCGAGACAGATCAAGGCAACACACTGAAAGTTCCGAATTAGCTTCAGGGTTTGAAAGGCAATATTGAGAGCTTGTATGAGTATAGAAACCTTAGATAGGCGAAGGAACAATGTTCTCACTCGTGGTCACCCCACATTGTTTGACGTGTGGCGCTGAAGCATTATGTGTACACGTGCAAATGTGCTGTGGAGGCTTTTCGGCTGAGGCTTGAGTTCTTTGCACGTGGAAACTCAGCCCTGACAAGATCTGCCATGTGATTGTGTGCGTGTGAGGCGCGTGATTTGAGCCATCAGCTGTGGGGACT